TAAAGGCTTCTTTTAGTTATTACACCTCTAACCTACACAGTACTGTCAGCCACCAAATCTTAACCTTTCCTCTTCCTGATGTCTTTCTCTCCTAGTTCTAACTCCACCACTACTATTTCGTCCCTCTCCGATTATTCCTTTCTTTGGCACATAACTATGGGCAAATCTCTTACAATTTTGAAAACCCCCCAGAATAAAATCATCCTTCTCTTTACTGTAAAGCTGCCATTTGGCTCTTTCCACTTCTCTACCCACCTCAGGTTTAACTTGGTCACATTCTTTGTCATCTTTACTTTCCAACTTCAAGTTGATGATCAATTCACCACTTAATCTCTGCCAAACTCTTCAAATTTAACCAAAGATTTTTCAACCCCTTTATTACTGCTTTCTATGTATTTAGATTTGCTGACCATGCTTTGAACATGACATTATTTTTACCTTAGAATTAGGCCCCCCATATATTCTTGATTATCTCCCCTGTCCATGGTTATGTTTTCTCAACAAATATTGACAAGTCCCATAGAAATTTTAAAATCTTATGTTGTGAGTGATATTTACAGTTCATATTTTTAAACTAAACAGAGGAACATGGAAAACACTGGGAGTGCACAACATGACATTCTTAGCCATATTCTGGATGAACCATTTTGCCCAACATGCTCTGATGCCCTTCCCAGAACAGAGCCCTACTCACATGAAGAGCTTCTTCTCCCGCAGAAAGAGCTGAATTGCAGACTCGTAGTTAAAACAAAGTGAGACTATCAAAACATAGAACATCCAGGCTCTGTCAGGGTAGAGCAGAAATAAAAAGCCCCACAGTTCTTAAACACCCTTATGTCAGTTTTTCTACTCACAGGACATTTTCCAGAAATAATGTAATACTCACTTGATCAAAAAAGAAAGAAATGAAAGGAGAACTGTTCTGGGGGAAATGGAGAAGGAAGGAAATCAAAGGGCAGAGTAGAAGCAGACAGTAATTTACACCCTCTCCATGACCTGGAATTGAGTCATTCAAGGAATACCCTTTAGTTAATCTAAGTTACTGTATTTTTTAAACAAGGAACACGTGTTGTATTTCCTTTCTAGGTTCTTAGTTGGGTAGATGTTTCCCAGTTTATTTTGAGACTTTGAAGTTTTTCCAAACCTTCAGCCATGGTTTGGATTTGGACAGACCCTAGACCTTATCAACATGCTCAGGGGACATCATGTTCACTTCAACTGAAGTCTGGACCACAAGCTTTTATGAAATTTACCTATATCTAATGATTCAGAAAACAAAGGAAAAACATCATGTCTTCTTTGATTTTCACGTAGACACAGCCACCTGTCTCTTGGCCTGCTGATGGCTAAATTTCTAAACAGTGAACTATAACTGAGCTTCAAGAAGGAATATAATTTAAAGATAAATTAAAACTTGGGTGGACCTTGAGAACATTATGCTTAGGGAAATAAGCCAACCCTCTCCGACACAACACAACTCATACACACACACACACACACACACACACACACACACACACAGACCCAATATTCTTTAGCTCTGTGTGTACAAGGTTGCTGGAGTAGTCATATTCAGAGACAGAAAGGAGAGTTGAATTAATTAGGAGTTCTACAGATTTGTTTGGGCAAATTACTGTTTTACTGGACATGGAAATTCTTCTGAGCAAGATAAAAAGCAGTTGTGGAGTAGGGTGGTGCTCACAGCTGCACAATGTGAATGCACTTGGTACTACAGAACTGTACACTGATAATGGTTGACTTGGAAAATGTGTTGTGTGTGATTTAATACTACATACATACGTACATACACATACAAGAGTGACACAGACAGTAAACCCATGATTCACTTATCATGCTTCAACTTGTCCCACAACAATACAGTGACAATTATACTGTATTTGTCATACACTCAAATTCTTAACATATATCAATAAGCTTGGACAAGGTGACAGCATTTCCTGAAATCAAGAGATAAAATTACTTACCTACTCTGGATTGCAGTACAATCGTTTTTTATCCCAAGGAAAAAGACACCTATAAGCAATCCCTCTATAATTGTGGCAATGATCTTTCCAAAAAGAAAAAGAAAAATAGAAAGAGTTTCAAGTAAAAGTAAAACTTTTACACATTATTTACTATTAGGATAGATAGAGATAGAGATTTTCCACTGAATTAAACACTTCAATGGGCTGGCCAAATCTCCTTGGAGAATATAAAGTATACTTTATTGAACTATCCCCTACATTAAAGTGAAAATGTATGAACTGTTTGAGGAACTGAGAGGACAACAGAGGAGATGACTAGAAAAGTTAAAGTTCCTCCCAATGTCCCCCAGGCACTGCCAGTTCAGGGCACAGATTGGGGTACTGCGCTCATGAACTCCACAAGGTATAAAAGGACAATGTAGGCACCTGGAGAAGTCCTTGTAGGAACAAAATTAAATCTGTGTTACCGAGTTGTGTCTTGAACTGACACCTCAGCCTCTATGCCAGTGAACATGCACAGTTTTATACTTCGAGAGGTTAAAGCAAAGAGAAGATGAACTTAAACAGAATTTAAGGCTGTGAAATAGCTCAGAGGTAGAGTGCTCGCTTACCATGTAGAAGAGTCTGGGATTGTTCCCCAGTACCAAAAACTGAATGAGTCATGCAATTTTTGAACACACAATGGCATTTTCCACAACAAGATGTTATGGGTGAACTGCATGCCAGTATCCACTCTCTGGTAAGTCCCCACTTGATTAGAAAAATGAATTGTCATTTTAACCAAATCTTCCAGCCGGCCCTCCCTAGAATGCTAAAGAGCTGCCTTTACTCCTCTCTGTCACTGCTTCTCCATCAGCCTCAACCAGTGAGGCCTGTGGGCCACAAGGCCCCCTGAGCGGCCAGTACTTTGCATCCTTCACCTGCTCAGTCTGTGTGGATGTCTCCCAGGGAGATTGGACAAAGATCTCTTCTATTTCTAGAATAAAAGCCTCAAAGACTATCAACTAGGAAAGGCTTCAGATTACTTTATGATGTAATATAATGGAGGAATTCTACTTAGAGTTACGCAGGGATTACATATAAAATATGAGAGATGATAATCTAAAAATAAAAGTATCCTACCATATATCTTGGAAATACTGCAATTGAAAAATCTCAATACTATAACAGTGTGAGGGGTGTGAAGTAATTTGTCAAGGACAGTTTTGGCACGAAGTAAAGGCACAATAGCAAAACAGAATAATGATCTGTAAAGACAAGTTTGGGAAAACCACAGTCTATAAAGGATCTAATGTAAATGTTCCACTCATGAGATAACCCTAAAAAATCCCCCTGCTACTCAAATAGTAATACAAGAGGGATTTTATCACCCTGTATATAGTATATAGTATTTTCACACTATACTTAGAACATACACTTCACTTCCGCAGACCAGTTTTCTAAAATAAATGCTTACAGCTTTATCAATATGCAGCATGCACATGTGTGCAATAGCCTGTACTTATTACACAGTAAAATATTTTACTATATTCATCAAACTAGACACTCCCCACCCTTTGTTTCTTTTCCATTCAAACACGATACCATATCCCATGCCCTGGTTGCTCTCTCCTAACACTCACAACTTAAAGAAGAAGAGGTGTATTTTGGCTCATGGTTTTTCGAGGTTTCAGTCCAGAGTTAGCTGGATTCAAGGCAGAAACTATGTGGTGGAAGGGCCTGGGTGGAAGAAAGATGACCATGTTATGGTGGACAGGAAGCAGAGGGAGAGCAGAGGCAGCAGGGAGGGAGGTGCATTCTTCAGGGTCATGACCCCAGTGTCCTGCTACTAATCAGTCTGATCTGGCCTCAGGTCAGTCAACCCTACCATCCAATCACTTTCTCTGCAATCCCCGCTGCTGAACACATGGAACTTTGGAAGGACACGAGATCTAAGTCATGATATGCCAATGATGCCACTATGATCAACAGGATGCTTTATATGGGTTTCAAGTTCTTGAACTATTTCAGTCAGTTTTCAGATATATTGGCAAAACAATGAATTTCATAAAAAAGTCCTGCTTTTAAAAGGTGCAAATGTGTCAGTCACTCTGTTATGAAAGAAACACTGAGGCAAACTGAACATTTCACTATGGAAGAAAGCATACCGCTCAGCATTGGGCATCTGGTCTCAGTCCTCTTTTGATTAAAAAAAAAAAAAGCAGTTGAAAGGGGATTAAAAAAAAACTCTCCAAATATGTTACTGTTCAAAGATGTTTAGCCAATATTTCTGATGGTGTATTCTGTGGGATATTTGTGGTTATCATTAATAAAACGAATCCAGAGTTAAATGGTTAATATGCTAATAGAAAGGACTCTCCTTGTGACCAACTATTATGTCTGCTAAGTGATGAAAAAAAACCCTTCCCACATTAAATAAATAATGCTCTACTTACAACAGATACATAACTAGATCTTCCAAATACAATTATTAGTAAATAGTCAATGCTAAAACACTGAAATATATAACAAGTTCAAATAAAAAAGCAGTAAGAAAACAGATATAAGATTTATTAGCAAGAAGATAAATACTTCAACAGCTCCATATACAGAAACAGAGAAGTAATAAACCCACAAAATGAAGAACCTATCCCAAGAAGCAGTAGTCAATGGCCCAATGACAGAGGCCTAGACATCTATTTGTGTTAAAATATGAGATAAGAATAGTTTTTATCAGTCTTAGTAGTAGAGAGAGGAGATCAGAATGATATTTTTACAATATCTAATATATATATATATGAAATTAAAAGTTTCGTATCCATAAATAAAATTTCATCACCGTGTACCTTTGTTCACTTCCTTACATATCAGTTATTACTATATTCACAATAAAATAGCAGGATTGGCAGCCTGAAGAAAAGACCAACAAAACTCAGCATACTTACAAAAATTTATAAAAAATTTTCCTCACTATTATACTACTGCTCCAGTATTTCTAAACCTGAACAAGCATGACCAGGCCAAGTTCAGGTAGATACAAAGTCCTGCATTTTCTCTAGAGACTGGAGCTTCTCTGGCCATTTCTGGGATTCCTTCTGTGGAAATGAGCTCACTGGAGCAACATGGAGGCTGAACGTGCCCCCGATGTTTGCAGCATAAGGAAGCCTGGCAGTGAACCATACACGGTCCTGATGTATATAAGCAGGTGTGTTCTAACTATACCATGCCCAGAACCACCAAATACTTGTCTTGGATCAGCCACATACAAACCACTTTTTGAGCAAACAAGAAAAATCCCTTATGCAAAAAGTCCTTGAAAGATTCTAAACGTAGTAAAAACATCACATTACAGTAATGCATACATACTCATATCTATAGTAGCACAATTCATAATAACTAAATCTTGGAAGTGGCCTCTATGTCCACCAACATATGTATGGGTAAAGAAAATGTGATGTTTTGTAGGGGAAAGGTAATAAGGGAAAAAATGTGAGAAAATGAAAAAATGGAAATAAAGTGTTTGTAAATGGGGAGGGGAGGAGGAGGTGAAGGGAGGGCAGGGACAAGGGGAAGAAATGAGAACCAAGAACTGTCATGTAAAGGTACAAGATCCCAATGATGAATGTAACTGTACTGTATACCTAGAATGTACCAATAAACTCAGTTAAGAAAAAAGAAAATGTGATCTTGTATATGACAGAATACTAGTCTGCCATAGAAGGATAAACTTGAGTCTTTTGAAAGACAATGGACGAACCTTGAGACCACAGTGTTCAGTGAAATAAATCAGACACACAGCTTAAATATCACATGGTTTCTCTTACAGGAGAATCCCAAAATATGAATCAATAGAATAATAGAAGACAGATGATAGGAAGTGGGGACATTGACCTTTTTCAGATGGGAAGGGAGTCTGCAGAAGGAGTAAGGGAGGAGCGGGGAGGGAAAGGAACTGAAAAGGAATTCAGTTGTGTTGTGTACATGTAACAACTCCCCACAAGGAATGTGACTATTATGTCCTCCAAACGTGGTGTTTTTCTATAAAGTGGAATATTACTCAGCCAAAAAGAATGAGAAATTAGATTCATTCATAGGAAAATGAATACATATTGAGGATATTCTCCTAAGTGAAATAAATAAATCACACACGTATAAATACTGAATAGCTTCTCTGGTGTGAATAAGCTATAATAGTACATAAGATCCTAATGATATAATGGACAATGTGAAATAGGAAGAAAGGGGCTAAAGGTGTGGGGAAAGTGGGAAGGGGAGGGGAAAGGAAATAAGGGAAAAGAAAAAAATGAGAAAATGAAAAAATATTTGTAAATAGGGAAGGGAGGAGGGGGTGAAGGGCAAGGGGAAAAATGAGAACCAAGACCTTGCATCATTTCAGTGTTCAACACCAGATAACCAGGTTATATATAACCAGATACACCTGGCGGCTAAAGGTGTGGGGAAAGTGGGAAGGGGAGGGGAAAGGAAATAAGGGAAAAGAAAAAAATGAGAAAATGAAAAAATATTTGTAAATAGGGAAGGGAGGAGGGGGTGAAGGGCAAGGGGAAAAATGAGAACCAAGACCTTGCATCATTTCAGTGTTCAACACCAGATAACCAGGTTATATATAACCAGATACACCTGGCTATATATAAATACCTCATTAAACTTGTTTCCAAATGATGTCATCTACTCTAAAAGAAAAAACTGATAGGACATTTAACTCACAGGACACAGAAGTGACTGTATTCTCTAACGTTTCATTAGGGCCAAAACGTGCAATCATTTAATATTCATAGAATCTCACTGATTGATAATAAAACAGCAACTCAAGAACAACCAGCTAAATTGATTTTCTTCTAAATCATGAAAAAATGACCTGAGAGAACCAGTGTTTATGTGGTATCAGGATTATGGATAAGAGAAAAACCCTAAAATATTATAATCACCAGTCTCCCCAGAACCAGCAAAAAGCACATCATATTATATCATCTTGGTGAAGAGACTGCTAACTTCGGTTACTACCTGTTAAAAACTGCAAACTCTTTGAAGGATATATGGTTTCCAAATATTCAGATCTCTAAACACAGAAAAAAGCAGTGACAGGAACAGCACGTGGCACGCAGACTTCTCTCTCAGGCAGCGCACAGCCCACCCTCCCTCAGGTCACTCAGGGCCACTGGGCTCCTGCACTGCCTGACTTCAGTCGCAAACCTCTTCTCCTGATCTCCTTCCCTCACCATCCCACTTCTGCACCCCTTCTCTGCTCTGACTTTCTACAAAGTTCTTTCTGCCACTAGGTATACTTTCTTTATCTCTATTCAATTATAATTTTATGTCCTCATAAGAAAATCAGTTCCATGAACGCTCATTGTGTCCACTATTCTATTAGAGTTCCCAAAGTGCAACATGTGACCTTGTAGTGAATTTGTGCAACAAATTACTGAATGAAAGTGTTAGAAAAACACACTTTAAGTGATGCTTCCTTTTGTTTACAGATTTCAATGCCAAATTAAATTTCTACTTAGGTTACCCTTCACAGTTTGTATAAAATATTCTGAAGCATTCAAGAATTAAAAACTTAAGTGTGTTTTCTTATTTCACTGAGTCTTTCTATATCCTAGATGGAATGAAGATGATAAATACATGACAGGATGGGTACAAAATAAACAAATCTGAAGAATAAATCAGAATCAAATTTTCCCCACGTACAAATTTTAAGCACAGTGAAAAAAATCTTCCAGCTTACCTGAGTCACAGAGGTCTGGAGATCACCCAGGAAATTTTTAAATGAACGCCAGGTAATCCACCTGAGTTGGTGACAAAAGGATGCGGCACAGGTGAACTCCTGGAAGGCTAAGCTCCTCTTCTGACCAGTTGAGAATTGATCTAGTTTAGCTTTTGTATCTCTGCAGAAGGGGGAGTTGGCATAGAACTCAGCTAAGTTTTCTGTGATTGACTCAACTGTCCTGGAAAACTCTTTAATGTTCTCATCTTCATAATAAAAGTAGACAAAGAAAGGAAACAGACAAGAAATGACTGAATACATTTCACTGTGACTCCTTTCTTTTATTACACCTCAAGTCTACACCTTGAGAATAAAAATGAATAGCTTCATCATGGCTATTCACACTAAAAAGTCACATAATACCAGTGCCATAATCTTATGGATACAGAAAATCAGTTGACATTTTCTCACTTCAATACCAGTTCTTAAAATAGACATATTATTGTACAGCTGTATAATTCTTAATATGAAACTCAAGTCCATGAATTTTTCTTTGTGCAAAGCCTAAAAGATCAAGTTTGTTATTTAAAAAAATAATATAGGGTTAAGCACTCTTAGAGGCTGAAGCAGGAACACAGCTTGGGCAACTTAGTAAGACCCTATATAAAAAGGAAAGAAAGAAAAGAAAGAAGAATTAAAAAGAGAAAGAAAAAAAGGAGAGAGAGAGAAAGAAATCAAGAAAGAAAGGAAGGAAGGAAAGGAGGGACAGACACTGAGGATGCAGCTAAGTGGTTTCAATACATTTTCCATAAAACCAGTGGAGAATATTTATTTCCATGGAAATGTCCCTTAGCGGGAATAGTACTTCTTTATAAATGCTTATTTATAAGTGAAATCAAAACCACCAGCAGCACTCATTGAAAAAAGTGTATCTGTTGATTGCTATCAGAGCATTACATTAATCTACATATTGCGGTACAGTTATGACATGCTGGTAACCAGGAGACACTCAGGCAAGAGCACTGCAAGTTGGAGGCCAGCCTGGACCCTGTATTATAATAAAAAAAATTTTTTAAGTGCAGGGGGATAGCTCAGTGACAGAAGGCTTACCTAGCACCCATGGGACCTATGTTCAATGAAAAAAGAAAGAGAGAGAGTCAGAGAGAGGGAAAGGAAGAAAGGCAGCATTCATATGACTTCACAAAGTCTTCTTTAGATGAGCTATAAAGTGCTAAATCTCAGCCTCTATAAGTAAAACTCCATGAGTCATACAGACTCACATACATTGGTGTTCTTCCTCCTCTCGATCTGATTCCTTAGCAGTGAAGACCCCACTGATGACATCCAGGAAGAATTCTGCAGGATTGTTGTAGGGCTCACATTTGTAACCTAAAGAAAAGAGAAGTGAAGCCAAGAAGACAAAGCTGACGTCCTTGGATATAAATAGGACTCATATCAGAGGGAAGGAGAGGTAAGGCATGTGAACACAGAATCTAAAAACTTGTCCTTCTTCTAAATCCTTTCTCTTCTCTCCTGACTCATTTATCCTTTCCTAGTTCAGTGACTCTCTGTGTCATATATATCAAGAAAAATATGAGTGCCAGAGTGTATGTACTCTCTGAGTTCCCCTAGCAAACACTAGAACAGCAGTACGTGCGCCAGTAGTGATCACTTCCCCACCTACGACACTCAGAGGGCTAATTTTTATTTCTCAGGCTATCATAACTCCAGATACACAAGAAACACCCACAGCAGTCTTCTGCAGAGAATGTGACCAACACAGCACACCTGAACTCAGACCTCAGCTTCGTTTGGTGTGGTCATCTCATCTTGGCCTGAAATCAGCTAAATTCAACTCCCGTGGAGTCTCCCAGGTTCATACACAGTATGTTTACTTATTTTTAAAAGAAATAGATTAACCAAAGGCATATTAGGAAGATGGCTAATAAATATTTAAATTATATTCAGTTCTGGGAAAGTATCTATAATCATATTAAACTATCTCAAAAGTGAAACAGTGGGCATGTACCATTAAAAACAAAACCACCTAGAAGGGCAAGGGAAAGGTAATAAGGGAAAAGAAAAAAAATGAGAAAGTGAAAAAGTGGAAATAAATTGTTTGTAAATGGGGAGGGTAGAAGGGGGTAAAGGGAGGGCAGGGGCAAGGGAAAAAAATGAGAACCAAGACCTGTCATGTAAAGGTACAAGATCCAAATGATGGATGTAACTGTACTGTATACGTAAAATGTACCAATAAACTCAATGAGGGAAAAAAACCCCACCTAACTCAATCTAAAATAGAAAGAAGCAATGCAGAAATGTTGGCACATTAAAAAGAGCTTAAGGATGCAGGAGAATGGCAAGTTTGAGCCAAGACTGGGCAACTTTGTGAGTTAGTGAGACACACTGTCTTAAAATAAAGTTTAACATAGTTACGATGTAGCTCAATATGCAAGCTCTGCCTTCAATCCTCAGTATCCACCCCCCCAAAAATGTTTATGTGACAAAATAACTGGCCTTGTGTCCAACAAATTAATTACTAAACTCTCAAGAAAATGTCACCACATCTGGGAAGCCACACAAACACAGGCCCAGGAGATAACTCAGACAGACACAAACATACATGCATACTCAAATAAGACAGGAAATGGGAAGGGACCTAAACCAGCAACAAGTGCTGTGAAAGGAAGAAAAGTTTTGGTACCTAACTGTCAAAAGATGTTTTAGAGCAGTAGAGCCTGATGTTCATATACGGAAAATCAAACTGCACCCTGCTGACCTCCTCCGCTCTCTTCCAGGATTCTTTGCTTGCGGGATCTACAGTACACAGAACTCGACCATACCTGCTGAAGAAAAGTTGCTCCATAGTCATCTGCGCAGGACCGTGGAACATTAGATTCCCTGCAGCCAATAAGGTGAGGCTATCAAACATCTTAAAGACAGAATACTGAGGCTGACGAATGGAGAAGATGATTGTTCGCCCCTGCCTAGACAGCCTATGTTAAAGAACAGAAAACAACCAATCATTACACATTTGAACTCTGCATTTCCTGATAAAATGTTCCTGATTTTAGACTATTTCATCCCTGTTCAATTTAATTTTCTCTTACAAATATCTCATTGTACCTCATATAATTAACTCATGCTAACTTTAATGCTTTTATGAAAAAGGTAAGGGTTTCCTAAAAGATGATGCATTAACAGTATAGACTCCACTAGAAATCTTTGTATTATTTTATTATTTTTTAACAAACTGAATCTTTATTGGTACATTTTAGATACAAATTACAGTTACATTTGTCATTGCTATCTTGTACCTGTACATGACATATCTTGTTTTTAATTTTTTCTCCATTCTCCTAGTCTCCCTTTCCCTCTCCACCCTTCCCTATTTACAAAGACTGCATTTCCAGTTTTTTCTTTTCTCTTATTTTTTTGTCTTCCCTATTTACCTTTCCCCTACCCCTCCCATTTGCCCAATACTTTTAGACCCTTTCTACCTTTTATAAAATATCAATTATACATTTTGATTCTTATTTACACATTTAGTTTATCACACCAGAGAAACTATACAGTATTTACACATGTGGGTCCTATTAATTTCACTTAAGAGTATGGCGACAATGTGCATCCACTTACCTATAAATGTCTCTAGTTTCTCATTCTTTATGGCTGAGTAGTACTCCATTTTATTAAAAAAAACACATCGTCTTTACCCAGGCTCCAACTGATGTGCAATTGGGCTATTTCCAAGCTAGCTATTACAAACTGTGCCACTACAAATGTGGGTGAGCATATATCACTGTGGTATGATTCTTTTAATTCTGTTGGGAAGGTACCCAGCAGAGCAACAGCTGGGTTAAATGGGACTTCTTATCCTAGTTGTTTGAGGTATCTCCATATTGATTTCCACAGTGGATGTACCAGTCTGCACTCCCACCAACAATGGAGAAGGGTTCCTATCTCCCCACACTCCCACCAGCATTTGTTATTGGTTGATTTCTTGATAGCAGCCATTCTTTCTGGGTGAGGTGGAATCTCAATGTTGTTTTCATCTGCATCTCTCAAATGACCAGTGATGTTGAGCATCTTCCCATACATTTATTTTCTGCTTTTACTTCTTCATCTGAGAAGTGTCTGTTCATTTCACATGCCCATTTTTGAATTGGATCTTTATATTTGGAGGGCCTGATTTTTTGAGTTCTTTATATATTCTAGATAGGAGACCTTTGTCTGAGGAGCAGCTGGTAAATTTTTTTACTCACAATGTAGGTTGTCTCTTAGCTCTGTTGGTGGTTTTTCTTGCAGTACAGAAGCTTTTTAAAAAGATGAAATCCCAGTTGTTTATTATTTGTGCTAGTTTCCATGCTACTGAGGATTTGTTCATAAAGTCTTCTCTTATGCCAGTGTCTTCAACAGTACTACCTAGCTTATCTTCCAGCAAGTTTAGTGTACAAACCTTTTTAAAATGCAGATTCTTGAACAGTCTTTCAAGACACTGAACTCTATGGCACATATGAGGATTCCAGATTGTATCAACCACACCACATTTGTGTTATGTGAACTGAATATTAAATCAATAATCACCTGCTCAATCCTAAATTTTCTTCTGCCTTATGATTACTCAACCTCATGAAAACAACATTACTAACACTTACAATGTCTTGGCTACATTCTTGAGAGATAATGTCACTTCAGTTTTCACAAATCCTGTTGTAAGGCAATTTGGATATTATTTTTATTTTATTCCTTTGAAGGATAAGATTAATAGGTCAAGACACATTAAGATGTCATAGTTATATTAGACAAGAGTGAGATTCAGTCTGTAGTTTAATTTCATAGTAGAAATGTGGCTAAACTGCTTCTTAGCAGTAGTTTATACTTAAGAATAGAAGAAACAACACCCAAGTTTCCTTTGCAAAATTATAATTATAATCTTTTATGAAGGGAATCACTTCAATTTAAGCATTTGAAAAGCATTTAACAGAGGCTAAATATACATCTAAGGGTGTTGTCTCTAATAGGGTCAGGCCAGAAGGTCAATTATTTCAATAACATGTGCATTTTAGTAGCTAAGTTTCTTTAAAAAGCATTGAATTCCTTGGCTGCACAGGTTGGCAAATGTATTCTTATAATGGGAACCATGTGCTCACTGACTAAAGTCAGTTGCAAACTGGGAAAACCCAAAGACTAAACACTGAACTGTTAGATTTTAATCAGAAATATTACTATGAACTCATAGGTATTTCATAGAATGATGCTAAGTGGAACTACAGTCATTATAGATGCAAATATGTGTTTCTCTCTAATGGAGAGGATGGAGTGCACTGTGAGGCAGTAGGTAGATAATGACCACACACAAACAGTGTAAATGTATGCATATGTTATACCTATGTGCATACAGAAAAACACACATATAAAGTGCACTTATTGTCAATATATTTCCATAATCATATATACATACTAACACACTCATCCGTGTGTGTTTTTTAGGTTTGTCTTCTATGGGTCTAGAAGTAATGATAACTCAGTAGGCTTCAAGCAAATAAGGCCAAACCAGGTCATTAAGTAGGCAAATAGGGTCCATTGAGAGGAGATGAGGGCACAGACACACACAGAGGGTGAAGAGGGTCATCTTCAAGGCAATGACAGAGGAGTCAGAAGAACAACCCCATGGACACCACGATCTCAGATTTCCAGCCTCTGGAGCTGTACAAAAATTAATTTCTATTTTTAAGCCACCAACTCTGGAATTTTGTTATGACAGAGCCTTAGCCAAGCTGCACTCCTCTTACTCACTGGGTTCTGTCCCTCAGGCCTCTCTGATGTCGAACGCACAGCAGGCTGGCTTGGCCCCAGGGACACTGACTGTTCCTTCCACCTAGATAGAGCTCTCTCCTCCTGGATCCAGCCTGGTCTCAGTCCCCTGCCTGCAGCCCATATACCACAGTCGAGGTCCCCTCTGACCCTCCTGTTATTCAAATCAACCTCACCACCACCATGGCTACCCTGCCTGTGCCTCTCTTTCATCTTTCTTGATAGCACTGCTGTGTTATTTGACTGTTTCCCCCTAACAAGAAGGGAAGAAATTCTGCTGTTTCACTGTTGCATCCTCTGTGAGAACATCTGGTACACAGAAGTCGCTCAGGTATTAAATAAATAAAAGAACAGTTCCCATAGCAGTTACTTTTTCAGGAGTGAAAAGACAGCATGTGCTGTGCTTGGATCTAAAGCATTAGTGGGCTCATCCAGGAACAAGATGGAAGAGTGTGTGATTAGCTCCATGGCTATCCTTGTCTTTTTGCTTTCTGCTTTAGACACACCATGGATAAGTTCAGTTCCAACCTAAGACAAAACATTCGCAACAGGAATGACCATGGTCACTAACATATGGTGAAAAATTTTTTGCTAGGCCCATACAAGACACTCTATTTTACATTTATTATTCTGAAAGCTAATAAGAGGACATCTGAGAGATGAAAGGAGATTCTGCTTAATGAGATGAGCAAACTCAGAGTCAAGTTAGAACTGCTGAATGGTTGAAGTCAGATATGAAATTGATATTTTTTATACTTCTAGAGGCACCATAATAAGTCAAATATTTATTTTTAAGGCAGTAAGTTACAGTACTAACGGGTATGCAAAAACTGTGAAACCAGAGTCTAAATCAGGTGGTAAAAGCCAGACATCGTGGCATCCTCTTTTATAGTTCCAGTGCTCGGGGAGGTTGAGGTGGGAGGAGAAGTCCTTGCCCAGCCCTAGCAACTTTGGAAGAACTTGTCTCAAAATAAATAGAAAGTTAAAAGGGGGCTGGGATGCAGATCAGTGTGAAGGCCCTCGGTTTAATTCCCAATATCATGGATGGATGGATGGATGGATGGATGGATGGATGGATGGATGGATGAGATAAAAACAAGACAGCAAAAGGGGAGGTACCTATAAAATCATAGTAGTCTTCTACCAACATACCTCTCTTCTGTTTCCAGCAAAAGTATGTAAAGAGAATGGACTTGGAGCAAGGCAAGCTCACCTTCAACCAGACAATATTAGCAGCTTTTTAATTTCCATAGCTCTTTCCCAACTGAACATGCCTACACTGCAATTCATCACAGGACTTTTTAAGGAACTTTTTAGACAAATGTAGAAGGTGGGGTATTCCACAGTGCACCTGTCTCAGTCTTTTCACCAGTGAGTGACATTTTCAGTGATGAGAGGGAACGGGAAGTTCTGGGGAAGGCACGAGGCGCGAACTGTAATTAAGAATCTCCAAAGCCATTATAATCACTTGCTCCTCATGGCTCTCAATGGGTTCCTGTTAACAGTTGAACTAGAAGACATTTGGAGACAGTTTGGGGCATGTGAATGAATATGGACTTAATGAATATGGTCTTCTTGCTAGTTGATAAGTGGGACTGTTACTTTTACAGATCCATAATATGTATTCAGGATAAAACATTACATAATTTTTAAAAAATTACGTCAGTAAAAAATGTTGAGGTATCATGAATACAATATTAAAAATGGAGAAATCGAGTTAGTTTCCTACTCTATTATCAATGAAATGATTGAGTTATTTTCTCTGATTTTATGTTATTTTATATTTACAATACCCTGAAAAGTAAAAAATTATAATTATTTCAACCAATTTCATTATATGAATTCTATGAAAGTCAATAATTTTTTCAATGTTTACCCTGGAATTCTCAGAGAGTGATATAGAACAATAAATACCTAAAAACAGGGTAAAGGAAGTACCTTGTAGGAAAGACAAAATCAAGTAAAATAAACAAAGTGAGAGAGAGGAAAAACAAATCATTCATAATAAGAAACTAAGTGGTTAATGGAGTCATTGCAGGGTTTTTCTTTCAAACAAAAACTGTTCACAAAGGATCATGGGAAGCAACAGCAAAACCCTGGTTCATCATGGGCTGTGAGAAGGGGATGCCACAGGGGGTTAAATCACAGCCACTGTCATCTGAACAGCTCATTTTCACCTAAAATCCCAGTATCTGCTCAGGATTTCTTGTATAGAGAATTATCAACTGGAGAGGCCACTCATCCTTCTGATTTGCCCTTATGATTCTGCCAAAATAAGGAGTTTCTTTGTCCTCTTTTTTCTTCTTTTTTACTTTTGCCACAATTATATCTCTAAAATCAGGAAGCAAGCCAGACACCAAAGAGTCTGCAAAAAAGTACTGGTAGAAAAAGGGAAGAAAGGAGAGAAGTAGGTAGGAAAGAGAGAAACAAATTTAAAGGAGGGAAAAGTCAGAAAAATACAATTAGAGAACTATAGCAAGTATAATGTACTAAGCAAAAATCTTTGGTTCTCTTTATTTACCAATTACAGAACTAAACCTTTGAAAAGCAACAGAACAAATTTCCCTGATATAAGAGAGAGAACAAAGAATTTCTAAGTTTGAAAAGAGAAAAACACAAGTAGAAAAGTTAGTGCAAAGTTATAAAATGATCCAGAACAATGAGACAAGGTGAGGATCTTATGGAAAAGGTTACATGAGGAACGTTTCCTTCCTAGACCTTGCTCCACCCCAAGGATTCAACCATCCTTAAATTAATGTGCCAGCTTGATTTAAACCTCCTTATGATGTAAGTGATGCTCTTCTCATAACAGAAAGCAGCCACTTTCACCACAAACATAGAAAGCTAGTGATTGAGGTCATATTTTTCACACAGGGTTGTCTTATTATGTGGCTATGATGTTTCTGTTTTTATTCCCAGTACCTTGGAATCTGCCACTTTATCCAGACCTAACTCTTCAATGACATCATTCATCCTCTCATTTTTTTCATGTTGTGTCATGGTCGTTGGAAGCCGAAGAGCTGCTGAGAACTGTAAATTTTCTCTCACTGTCAGCGTGCCCATGATGCCTTCATCCTTCAGACAAATGGTATGTTAGTGAGAAAACTGAGTCTTTTCTAAACCCATCTATCACTCTAGAACATGTAACTTAATCCAAGAACATAGCACACCCAAAGTAAAGCTCTCTCTAATGTGGCCATTTAATTCTACAAATTAGAGTAACTACATGTACAGACAGCTGCAGAACCCACTGGAATAATTCTTTACCCCACATTTGCACATCCAAGGAGCACACAGGTAATTATCATTGTCATGCCTTCTTAAAATAAATTTGTGGTTTGTTAACTCCTTTGAAGAAAAGGAACTGTTAGCACACGTTAGAAAGAGACATGAATACGTCTGATTACAGATTGTGGCTATTCCCACAAAGGGGGTGCACACACTCTAAGAAGTGAAACAGGCTACAAGCTGAAGTAGGGCGCATTTAATGGGGTGTGTTTAACGTAGGTGAATTATGATGTGAATTTTTTTGCGTGGGTCCCACAGATTGAACTCGAAACCTTGTGCTTGTGAGGCAGGTGGTGGAAACACAACTAAATCGTTGGCCCTATGATGTATATTTTTACTGTCCATCAGGTTACAGTGCAAGTGTTTGAAGTTGAGATGTCCCATTACAAAGGTGGTTGTTTTTAGGCCTGAAGGAAAAGGCAACTTGCACATGAAAGGAACGGGTCTAGTGCCCTGGAATTCATAAGCTACTATAAAAGGACCTTTAGGAATTTAACACTATTTGAGTAAGGATGAAAGGGAGAAACACAAGTTGGGGTGGACTGCAAAAGCAGGGAAAAAAAGTATGTCTTGCTGCAGATTTTCTTAAAGGTATAATTTTATATTTTAAGCATAATTTTAAAATCCTGATTTCTGTGTCTCTTTCCTTATTTTTATTTCTTTTATCTTATCTCATGATGACTAGTAGCAAACACTTTTAGACTTCTTTTTACAATGATTGCCAAAGGCAGCTTCAAGGGAAGGAGAAAAGTAAAGAAAGCACAGCACTAGGCTCATTTGGAATAGATGTACCAGCTAGAATTGATACCACTGCCCGACAAGAGTCATATTCTGTAAACGCTCTGCATTTTCATTTAATACTACACTAAAGCTAATGTACAATTGATGAAAGGCAGGACCAGGGATTTAGCTCAGTGGTTCTGCCGCCTTCCTCGCAAGCACAAGGTAAGAAGAAGGAGAAGGAGGAAGAGGAAAAGGAGGAAGAGGAAGAGGAAGAAGAGGAAGAGGAGGAGGAGGAAGAGGAAGAAGAAGAAGAGGAGGAGGAGGAGGAAGAAGAGGAAGAAGAGGAAGAGGAAGAAGAAGAGGAAGAGGAGGAGGAGAAGGAAGAAGAGGAGGAAGAAGAGGAAGAGGAGGAAGAAGAGGAAGAAGAAGAAGAGGAAGAAGAAGTAGAGGAAGAGGAAGAAGACAATGAAGAAAGAAACAATTACTGAAAGGCTACTTAGTTCTATATGAATGTTTTATAATCGATTGGCAGGTATAAGCCAAGACACTTGCCTATATAACAATGAGGAAATTAAAAAAATGCAAACCCACTAATACTTACTTCTGCTACATATCCTGAATAACATTTGAAATTGGCAGGCTGAGGTTCCCCATTTATCAAAACATCTCCAGACAATTTTTCTGGATGTTTTCTTGCAGCTAAGACATCTAACAACCTGAAAAAGAACATAAATGTTGTAAGGTTTCTGTCCCTAAAACACAGGCCATCTCTCTCACATTTTCTGCACAAGTTGCAAAATATTCTAGTCAAGAAATTCTATGGTCTAACTAAATATACACATCCATTATCTGCTACATGAAAGCCTTCCAGAGTTTAAAAAATATGTTATCATTGGTTTATCTGGCACAGATCCCCCAAATGATCCTCCTGCTGTGTGAACTTGGAGGTTCCAACGTGCTCTTTTATGTAAGACTCATGACCTTACCTAAAACTTCTGTTACATATTCACACTTCAGCTATTATCCACATATTTTCACACTCCACTGTTCATAATACTAGCTGTTGAAAATAATCACTTTTTTTTTTCCTGATTCCAGGGATCAAACTCAGGACCTTGAGCTTGCCAAGCAGATGTACTGCCACTGAGCTACATCCCTGGCCCAGAAAAGCAGTCACTTTATAATGTCCTAGTAGTAAACCTGACCAGTAAGGCTTTATGGTCTCATCACAGCTCATCTAACTGAACATTATTCACAACACCCAGGGCCAGACCAGACATGCACAGCTATCCCTACTCATGTAACGATAATCTTTAAAGGCTACTGAAACTGTACAAAGAAGATGCACCCATACTCTCTTTTATACTCACAAAGATTTTCCTGCACCTAGGGGTCCCCGAATGGCATTGAGGCCAGGTGCCATGATCCCACTGTAAACACAAAAACATACTGACTTACTGTTGCACATTAAACAAAATTATACTAATTTAGGGTCTTAATTAAATATATTTAATGCAGGTTGATGAAATTATAGACAGAAAGCAAATTATCAACCTATAGATAAAAAAAATATGGCCCTGGTCCTGTTTAGCACCAAATGTGGAGTTCATGAGGGGAAGCAAAATTTTGCCAAATATAAGCCAAATCCTTCGCAAACATTTCTGAACTGAGGTACATGAAAAGAAATTAAGCAGACATGGACCATTTTTATAGGAGTGACTCAGAAATGTCTCTACTCTGTATTATAATCACCTAATGTCACAATTAATGATCACAATTCACCCTTTGTAAATGAGATAACCAAACATGTATCCTTAAATACTTAATCTGCAAATACAGTAGAAAGTTCTTAATTACACCTAATATTGTTAAACTCTCATGAAAGCACACTAACTCCATCCCAGAATAGAAGACATAGGTTTTCTCTGGGTGGCCCTTACTCCTCTCCTGATATTCATTAATTTAAGTGTTATCATGCACATTTAACAATGCTTCAGAACCAATGAACATTATGATACAGAGAAAGAAAACAAAAATACTCACTTAATAGATGTGCTATGTGCACAAAATATTAGCAAAATAAAAAGGAAATACTAATGGCAATTATAATCCTTATTTCTGTAACTGGAGGTTGTTGCTAGTCTTTGTAACTAACTTCTACTATCATTCTGTATTCCTTTGGTCTTCAGAAAGCACCTGAGTAGGTCTTGGTTCTTGGTCTGGTGGGGTGACACCATCATTCATGAAACTTCTGGGACTTTTGTAATCCATCCTGGATTGAGTATCATAGTTTCCTTTTGTTATGGTTTACATCTGCAGTGACCCCTAGAAGTCTCATGTGTTTAGCGGTGGGGATTTTAGATGGTGGCGAAATCATGAGAGTGCTGCACCTGACTTGTGTTAGGAAATGGAGCCTGATTAGTAATGGGTACTGGCAGCATCACCATGAAGAATACACCACATTCCCACCTCCCACCTTCTCTCTCTCTGTCTCCGGTAGCAATGATTTGAGCAGGTTTTCTTCCACTGTTCCTCTCTGCAATGCCATTTCTTTTTTGGAGTGGCTGATAATTTATGAGAGTTGGGTTTTGTGTTTCAGTGATGAGAAAGTAGCTAAGACATCCACTGACCTGAATAACTGGGATGGTGATAACTAGACACTTTAAGCGAGCTCATACACTCCAATAGGGCCCAACTTCTCCTTCACAGTCTGGACAATCCCCACACCTAACAACATAGCTCCTTGTTGACTCAGGCCTGATAATCAGGGTGAAGTCTTTGATCCAGTTCAATCGAATCTTTGTTGTACCTCCTTGTACAATCATTCCCCCTTATGGAATCAAGACTTCTAATCCCACTGAGTATAATGCTGCAAGAACAGGAAGCAAAAAGGAAGAAACACTTCCAATAAATTAGCATTATCTTGATAGCAATATCAGATAAAGACTTAATGAAAAAAAACTACAGGGCAATTTCTATAATGAACACAGACTGAAAAACCTCAAGAAGATATTGGTAAATAGTATGCAACAAATCATTAAAAAGATCATACATCATGGCAAGGTTAGATTCATTCCCAGGCTGCAACAATGGCTAAATATACAGAAAGTAATAAACTTAACACATAAAATAAACAGAATCAAAAACAGTAAACACATGATCATCTCAATAGACATAAAAACGGCCTTTGACAAAAGCCAATATCCCCCACAGAAAACCTCTGCAGAAGAGAGGCATAGAAGAACCTTAGCTCAGCTGCATAAAAGTTACTGATGTCAGCCCTAGTGCCCATACTAGATGGAGGGAAAGCTAAAAATTTCCCTCTAAAATCAGGAACAAGACAAGCATGTCCACTCCTGTTCAAAATACTACTCAAAACACTAGCCAAGTCAATCAAGAAAGAAAAAATAAATTGGATAGCTATAGAAAAGGAAGAAGTCAAACCTGCATTGTTCACAGATGGCATGGAGACCCCCAAAATTCTACCAAGAGGTACCTAAAGCTAATAAATAAATTTGGCAAAGAAGCAGGTTACAAAATTAACACACAAAAATCAGTGGTGCTTCTCTGCGTCAGAAATGAACACATTGAGAAAGAAATCAAGAAAACAATTCACAATAAGTTCAAAAGCTCAAAACCTAGAAATTAATCTAGCCAAGAAAATGAAAGGTTTGTATAATGAAAACTAGAAAAGGAAATTGGGGAGGACATCAGTAAATGAAAAGATAGCCTTATACTTGGATAGGAAGACCCAGTGTTCTCAAAATGCCCATGTTATGAAAAATGATACATAGATTTCAGGCAGTCCTATTAAAATACCAACAGCATTCTTCACAGAACTAAAAACAGCAACACTAAATTTTGTATTGAACCAGAAGAGACCCAAAGCAAGAAGAAAAAAACAGGGGATATCAAACACTTAGATTTCAAGTTATACTATAAGGATCTACTGATTAAAAAGAACATGATACTCCAGTTGATGGGCAATTGGGCTGTTTCCAAGCTTTAGCTATTACAAATTCTGCCACTATAAACATGGGTGAGCATATATCACTGTGGTATGATTCTTTTAATTCTTTTGGGAAGATACCCAGCAGGAGAATAACTGGGTTAAACGGGACTTGTAGTCCTAGTTATTTAAGGTATCTCCATATTGATTCCCCCAGTGGTTGCACCAGTCCGCACTGCCACCAACAATGGAGAAGGGTTCCTTTCTCCCCACAACCCTGCCAGCATTTGCTACTGGTTGATTTTTTGAAAGCGGACATTCCTTTCTCTCTCCCTCCCCCCGCTCTTTCATTGAGTTTATTGGTACTTTTTAGGTATACAGTACAGTTACATTCATCTTTGGGATCTTGTACCTTTACATGACAGGTCTTGGTTTTTGTTTTTTCCCCATACCCCTGCCCTCCCTTCATCCCCTCCACCCTTCCCTATTTACAAAAACTTTGTTTCCATTTTTTCATTTTATCATATTTTTCTTTTCCATTATTTCCTTTCCCCTACCCTTCCCACTTCCCCTACACCTTTAGCCCTTTTATTCCTAATTTACATTGACATGAAAATCAATATGGAGATACCTCAAAGAATCATACCACAGTGATATATGCGCACCCATGTTTATAGTGGCACAGTTTGTAGTAGCTAAAGCTTGGAAACAGCCTAATTGCCCATCAGTTGGAGACCGGATAAAGAAGATGTGGTTTTCCTATAAAATGGAATACTACTCAGCCATAAAGAATGAGAAATTACAGTCATTCACACAAAAACGCATGAATATTGAGGTCATACTCTTAAGTGAAATAAGTCACACATGAGCAAATAGCAGCCATTCTTTCTGGGGTGAGGTGGAATCTCACTGGAGACTGGGTAAAGAAGATGTGGTCCTTTTATAAGATGGAGTATTACTCAGCCATAAAAATGATAAACTGGAGACATTTATAGCTAAATGGATGTACACTGACGATATAGTCTGTCACGTGCCATTGTTTCCGGGCTCTTCATGCCCTGCATGAATCCCGGATGTGAGTCCGCCGGTGACGGCGGTTCGCGCCTGCGCAGAGGAGGCGCTTGGCTCGTCAGAATGACGCAGGCTGGCATTGACCAATAGAAATGGGCCACGTCACCCGAGAGGCTATAAAAGGCAGGCTCGCGTCCGGCTCGGGGTCTTTCCGCCATCTTGAAGAATGCAGAAGAACCTCCAATAAAGCGTGCTTCAGAAGAATCCTGAGTGTTGCGTGCTCCTTGCTGGCGAGGTGCGCTTGACAAGTGGTGCCGAAACCCGGGAAGCGATGACCATCATTGCCGGCATCAGCGGAGACCCCTGACTTCAGGAGGATTCAGAACTGAGCAGCAGGAGGGGAGGATCCACCAACTTTCCGAGAGGTACGCTGTCTGGTGTGGGCGGGTGTTTTAATTTGTTTACTCCAACAGGTTTAACTTTGTCGGTCGTCCACTTTCATAGATAAGGGAGAAATGGGGAATTCTACTTCACAATCCCTGGTTTATGCTTTACAAAGCCTGTTGAAGGAAAGGGAGTTAAAAATATCGGAGCAGGTTTTAAGGAGGTTTTTAAAGGAAGTGGATCGAGCGGTGCCCTGGTTCAGCGGTACCGGGTCACTCACGATCCCATCCTGGGAAAAATTAGGAAAAGACCTCCAGCGAGAGAAAGATAGGAATACCTTAAGACCGGGGGTTTTACCAGTGTGGAAAATGATTAGGGCCTGTTTGGAGGATAAGCGTTGCAATGACAAGGTGCGAGAGGGACAAAAATTGTTCAGGGAGCATCAAGACAGTGTATCAGAAAGGGAGAGTGAAGAAAGAAGTAAGTCTAGACAAAAACGGAGAACAACGGGAGCTCAAGAAGAAGGGAGCCAAATTTCCGGCCCTATTGAGGCCTCAATGGGCCTCTATCCTGCCCTAGATGAATTAAAAAGTTTAACGTTAGTAGAAAAGGAAAGTAACTCGGGGGCTCCTCGGAGGACTCCGAGACCTCGTCGGAGTCCTCAGGGGAGCCGCCCGAAAAAGAGGAAGTAGTAAGGAGGAGAGCGAAAAGAAAAGGGAAAATTGAAAGGCTGGGGCCTTATGCGCCGGCTGCCGTCCAGCCCTCTGCGCCCCTGCTGATTGGCCCCCCCGATGGGGAGATAAGAATGAAGCCGCGGGGACAAGGGATTTCTTTTTGTAAACCCAGGGAGATAGAGAAGATTTTGCAGGCGTTTCCTGTTTTTGAGGACGCAAATCAACAAAGATATTATGAACCATTGAAGCATCAGCAATTAAAAGACTTAGCTGAGTCCGTGAGGACTTATGGGATAAATGCTTCCTTTACCCAGGCCCAAGTCGACAGATTAGCTTACATGGCCATGACACCCACGGATTGGTATAGTACCGTAAGGGCTTGCCTTTCTATGGGACAATATCTAGATTGGAA